TTCTCTTTCTTCTTAAAGGTACTGCACTGGCAGTTGACCCTCATTCATGTTCTGAAGTCCAACTCCTGTCCTTAATGGGTCTCTCCATCTGTGGTGAGATCCCTGGGCTCTGAAGCTCCATGCCGGCCATGTGGAAGATGAACTCGCTTAGACAGAGCTACTGGCCTGAAACCAGCACTTAGGGCCCAGCTCCTCATTTCTACGCTCTACCTTTCAACACAAGATCCAGCTTTGTAATCTAGAAAATTGGATACAATTTCTCCTTCTGGCTTAGAGCAATAAAAGTTTCTTGCCTCCCTGGTCTAGCAGATGATGGTCCTGCCCTCCCTGCCCGCACCGTCCTCTCTAGGTACTGGTATTTCCATCCACGTGCAGTCTACAGTATCTCATACCTGCATGGTGAAAAGGAAGAAGGGCCTCTCCTAGAGCATCTTATTTCTAAGGGCTCCTCTTTGGGATGTCCCTTGAAGAATCCCTTGAAGATTTTGGCAATAAGTAACAAAAGACACCAGCCATGGCACAGACAAGCTGTCAGGTCTGAGGCCACATCTCTGTCTCCTGCAAATTGGTGCTGAGATTCTATGGAAGCCATTCAGTGTGGTGGCCCATGAAAATCCCTGAGAGATCCAAGTGAAATTGGGCCTCCCAGACCTCTCTCTGGAACTGGTCTGAAGGCCTTAGTGTTAACTTCCAGTCCTTTCTCTCTGCTACAAATGAATAAGGAGCCTGGCCTCTTAGCTCTGGTTCTTAACTGTCCATTCCTATAGTTAGGAGGGGCAGAGACAGCCCTACCCATGCCACATGGAACATCTCTGACTTGTCTTACCTTAGAAGCAAGAATAAACAGGAGGGAGTACTGGAGATACCAACACAGATGTCCAAGGAAGGCCGTGTTGGAGTTTGAAGAACTTTAAGCGGGGCGGGGCTGGAGCAGGGTGCAAGAGGGGAGTGCTCAATAGCGCATGTGCATGGAGTGGGAGGACTCAGGTTACCTCGGCGCCAATCTGCAGGAAACGGAGCTGAGCACCAGCTCTGTAGAGTCACGATGTGGCGTGGCTACCTACAGTCGTGAATGGAAAGACGATTATATGGCAAAGGCCCAAGATAAACCTTTAGCTGGGCTTAAATAAGGTATGATGGGCAGGCCAAAGGCTCAGAACCTGTGGATTTGGTCACATATGGCTTACCAAGGACAAGGATAGTGGAGATATGTGCATAAACACACTCAGGGAGGAAGTATCTGATGTGACAGGCCAAGGCTTGGTGGGTCAGAGACCCTGAGAGGACCACGAAGCAGGACCTGGCTCCATGAACCCCCAGAGTTAAATTATCACAGCTGTCAGTCCACCCCAACCTGTATACACCTTGTCCCTGACACTTCATCTTCATCACAGCTCTGGGAGCCAGCCCCTGTCTTGTCCCATGTTCCCAAGTCCCTGTTATGACTGCCTGGACCCCTGCTTCCTAGCCCTCTGTGAAGGTACTAGAGCTGTTGCCTACTGACTGCTCTTACAAGATCTTCCCCTTTCCCCATCCCCAATTTCTGAGCTTCGGCTGTTCCTGAATTTCCCATCACCTCAAGGCTCCACCTGGCTATTATAACATCTTTGTTACTTCTGGAGATTTCAAGACCCCCATGTACCCACCATGTTTGTCTTTATCTGTTACCATCCCTGCAGATACTCTGCTGGCTAGGTCAGTTTCCTCTCAAAAAGTTTGGGTTCAAGGCCTATTGCCTCCATGCTTCATCACTCCTGGCTGTCCCCAGTTGGGCTGTAATAGCTGTCCTGAGAAACAGCAAGCACAGTCCTCTAGACCTCACAGAGATTGTTGAGGTAGATTTTGTTCCTTCAGGTTACAAGTTCAATCTTGACCTTATAAAGAATCTTCCACCCATGCATCAGGATTTAGGTCCTTTAGGAATTGAGATTGGGAGGGCAAAATTTTAAAATTCCGTAGACTGGATGGCTCATAAACAACACTTATTTCTCATAGTTCTGGAGGCTGGGAAGTCCAAGATCAAAGCACCAGGAGGTTCTGTGTCTGGTGAGAGCTCTCTTCCTGGTTCGTAGATGGCCTGGCCATCTTCTCCCTGCCCCCTCATATGGCAGAAGGGAAAAAGGAACTCTCTGGGGCCTTTTTAATGACGGCACCAATTCCTTCACATTTGAGATTAGGTTTCAAATGTGAATTTGGAGGGGACACAAACATCCAGTCTCTAGCACATCCCTATGGATGACCACTGCTAACGTTAATTCACCAAGTTTACCTAATCCAGGGCTCATAAAACAGTTTACCATATTTGAACCTCAAACCAGTGCTCCTGATCCCAACCCAAACATATTCCATGTTTGTCAGGGCCACGAGCCTTCTGTTTAAAATACAATCACACTAATACTAATAACAGACTGTCCTCCACCCCTAATTGAAGAGTTTAAGCTTCTTGCTGAGTCTATTGTACTAATTTTTGAGTCTCCCTGAAAGTGCCTAAGAAGTGATGAAAAATTAGCCCATGATCTTCCTAGGAGGGAAATCTTCTATTTTCTTTTCTTATTTTTTTTCTTCCTTGGGGCAGCTACTGTCATTGACCTCTGATGACATCTCCAATGCTGCCTCTTAGAGACGGGAGAAGAGGACTGAGAACCTACAGCTGAGCAGTCTTCACTGCCTACTGCCCCTCTGCTGACAATGGGCTCGGGTCAGAGACTGCCATTATCTCTGCTACTGATTGGGGAGCCTCAGGGGATCAGAGGAGCACGGCCCTCTGGACTCAGTGCAGAAATAGGAAACTGTGTCTCCTCCTATGGTGTCAATCATACACATTGCTGCAACATATGCCCTGGTTTCTTAAAGCAGAGTCCCCACCCACCACTCTGAGGCCTGAAGCATGAGCCCACTCACTGAGAGCTAAACAGGTCAAATCCAACCATGAGATGTCACAATGTGCTTGGTATTGTTCCTCCCTTCCAGGATTTCTTGTTGGGTTAGGGACATGCCCCAGATCTCCTTCGGCTTTGTCCTTATCCTCCTGCAAACATACACTCAAGGACATCACCATCAGTCCTTCATCAGGTCTAAATCCCAGCTTGGACTCACACAAAACCCTCCCTCTGAGACTCCTGCAAAAATTTTACCCTTGCCCAAGAGGATCTTCTAAGAGAAAGGAGATCCAAGATAGAGGTCAAGTTCCCCAGCCTCCTTGTTCAGAGAATGACATTCCATTGACAGACTTTCCTTTGAGGGGAAAGTCATGCTCCCTTCTCTAGTTCCTTCCTCACTAGATAGGAGCATTCCTAACTCTCCCCATCACTCCTGCTTCTCTGCAGCCTCAGGGAGGAACCAACTGCTCCTGAGCCTGGGTCTGTGGGGACAGGTGGGCTGGCTCACCGGCCAAGGGTAGTAGCTTCCCGGTGCTTATCGTCTTGCTCCCTGCCCAGTCCACGTTCTCAGTTTCCCAAAGGATCAGGAGCAGGGACCTTTAGCCTGCCTAGAATATGCTGTTTCTCCTTACTCTGCTGCCTGCATGGGGTGGAGTTTATTCTGTACCGTGGCAATGGTTTCTGTGGAGGCTTTTCATTGGTCCATGTCAGTTTCTGTAGTGCTTTCTACCCTGGCAGCCCCCCAGCGAGGCTCCTCACACAGGCAGTCCCCCAGGCAGCCTCCTTGAGCAGGGTCGTTGCTATCCTGGGTCCACATTCCCCCACAGCACTTGGCCCTCTGGCCTCCTCCAGGCACCGTGTGTGCATGGCTGGAGCACAAGTCTTTCAGTGCTGCTGTGGGCTACCTACAGCCGTGGCCCACTCCACATATTGCTCCTCACAGGTATTCGATATGACACCAGCACTCAGCAGGGATAACTGACTTAAAGAAAGTAGAGTTAGGGAAAAGCAGAACTCAAAGTTCTACCTTTAAAATGGGAATAACTTTATAAAAATTAATCGTCATAACACATCTCTGAGGAGTAGATTCCAAAAGAGACTGCCAATCATAACATCGCTTCTCGCTGCCCCCATTCCTATTCCCAGCAGTCCTGGCCACAAGAGTGCCCCAAGTGATTCAATTAGGGTCTTTTCCAGAGATTTTTTTAAGTTAAGACTTATTTAAAATTAAAACTAAAACATGGCTTCCTCTCCAACGATGATACTGGGAAGCTGGTGAAAACTTTCATGGAGAAAGCCGATGTAAGATGCTGAGGCTGGCATGGTGAGAGGAGGCTTGGGACAGGAGGAAGAGAGTCTGGTCACCTTCGAGTACCAAGTTCCGGCCACTCAACTAGAGTATTCATAACCTTCTATGGTAAGCTGAGAGAATAATCCTCCCCATCTTAGCCTTCGTTAATTAGATTGGGTTCCATTGCTTGCAAACACCAAGGTCTATCATTCATTTGGCACTTTATTGTACACTCTTTTACTATTATCACAAGTGTTTTTATACAAATATCTCATTTCCTCAACAAGAAAATAACTTTCTTGACTGTGGTAGTTCATCCTGGGGCCCCTTCCTGCAGCGTACCCACCCCAGGGCTGAGCTTGTTACAGTAGTTTCTCTTTGCTCCGAACCTGCACCCAGCTAACTAGTTCACGTGAGAATCAGCCATTGACCTAGGAATTTGCCCATATTATGCAATTTATTTGAAATATTAGAAATTGTTTTCCATCTATCTGTTGATTTGGGTTTCCTAGATAGGTCCTCCCTCCTGTTAAGATCTTCAGTGAGGTGCCTCTTTTTCTAGGTGATGGGTAGTGTTCCTCCCTCCAACTGATCAGCCTGTGTGTGACCCAGCTATATTATCTGGAATTTTTTTTTAAGAGGTAGAGTAATAGGTTTATTGAAGTGCAGAGCTACAGTTCTCTTGCGAGAGGGGGTACCCGAAAGTGGGATGACCCCTTATCTGGGAATTTTTACACTTTATGTACTTTACTTGATATCCTGGCAATTGACATAAACAACATTTGGCATCGCTTTGCTACTTATAAAACAAACAGCAAACACCCAGTCTGTAAATATAGTATTTAAGTTTTACTACTGAATCTCAAAACTAGTTGGGATATTTAGAAAGAATTTAATTTGGCTGCTGAGTGGAAACCAAAGGGTGTATTTCTTTGAAAAGATGAAACCAGTGGGCTGATGCCTAAACACGAATGTCTGCACAGATGGAAATCCCAAAGATACCCAGGAGTCCAGCCTTTGCACAGCCTTTAGCACCGACATTATCTGAAAAAGAGGAACAGTTTCAAAGAAAGAGCGTTAAGGAATATATTATTAGAATGCAGCAAACCAATTTATTTTTGTAAATATCTTGACTAGGGGTTGTACATGTAATTTCATGTTGCCTAAGATTTTAGCTGTACTTGTTTTGCAAAGGATAATGATGTATTAGCTTAAATAGAATGACAATTCCTGTGAATACTGTACGTCTCAATCTAGTTGATCCTATGACACTCTGCATTGATGCCACGCCTATGTGTCTTAACTTATAAGTAATAATGATCTTATACCAAAAAGTCTTAAGTAAAAATTTTTTCTGGGCAGTAGAAATGTGTCGAACGCTAATTTTTTTCATCTTCATCTACTCTCCACTACTCTGAGGAATTTTTGTTGTTGTTGTTGTTGCCGTTGTTTGTCGTTGTTGCGTTCAACATTAGTGGCTCCACCTGTCTTTTACTCTGGCCTCTTTGCCATATTTAGAAACTCTATGTAAAAATACCAGTGATGACTGCAGTGACATATGTTACCTGGATAAACCAGGCCTTTTATTCCTTCTCTGTTAGTGCACTTGCCTGCTCTTTTCTTGGACCAACTTTATCCTAGATTCTGAGAATATATCTTTTTTAAACATCTTTGAGGAATAATTAACAAATATATTTGTATATATTTAAAGTATATGACATGATGATTTCACATACATATACATTGTAGAATGATTACCAAGATCAAGAAAATACAACCATCACCTCACATAGTTAACATAGGTAACTTTTTTGCATACGTGGTGAGAATGCTTAAAATTTGCTCTCAGCAATTTGCAAATATGCAATATGTATTATTAACTAGTCATCATGCTGTACATTAAAGAACCCAATAGTTTTTTCTTGGCACCCAGATTATTTCTCCACCAGATTATGTGTTCCTTGGGGGCAGAGTTTTATTCATTTCTCTATCCCCCTAACATTTAGCAAAATTTCCATACATGGTCAGTATCTAATTCCCAAAGTAAACCAAACTGAGTCTTGTTTCACTTTTGTGTGTGTGTGTGTGTGTGTGTGTTTCACACAACACCTCGCAGTGTCAGGTAAGCATATCGGAGCTTTCAGAAAATATTTGGTGAAGAAAAGATTTGTTGGTACTCACCTGTCTTTTCAACCACTTCCCCTTTATACAAAGGGACATGTCTGCAGAGCTGCTCAATGGGTGACCCGAACAGGAACCAGTCCACATCTATGATCAGAGACTGCAGAGGGTTGTACTTGACCCAGGTATATTTGTCAGAGAACATTTTGTTCAAAACCTAGATCAGATGTTAGAATGGAATTGGATAAAATAAAGTGACATGAGCTGGCATATCTTATTCTAAATTGTGACTTTTCCTCTTTCAGATTATTACATCGAAGGCAGTCAGGGATCTCAAGATGTCATCTCCTTCTGACCACTAGGTCATCAGAGAAGCGCCATTATTTCCAGTGTTAGTCTGCTCTGGTGACAATGAAACCCAGAGAGGGTGAAACTCATGCCAAAGGTGGCAAAAATGGAAAATTACAGAGGGAGAATTAAATCCCAAATTTCTAGCTTCATACAGTGTTTATCTTCACTACACTGTATAGTTTCTTTGCACCTTGTGTCCTCAGATATTATAACCACTCATTTTCCTGCCAGTCAGTATTTCTTAGAGCCCTGCTCTGAGAACAGAGGCTGTTCAATTCTTTCTACAGAGACACTGGAACTTATTATAAGTTTTTGTATTTGGGACTGCATGGTGGAAATCAAGCTAAGAGATGTACTCCTGCCTCAAAAACAATACATGTGAAAACACTTTAATAAGTGGAGGGTATCACATCTACTATAAGGTGTAATATTATCTTCCCCCTCACCCTCTTCATTTCTTTATAGGCACCAGTATTCGCTGCCTCAAGAACAGGGAGTAGTTAAGCGTACTCCAGAATTACCTTCCTCTCATAGATGTACCGTTTGAGTTGGTCCAGAGCAGGGATGGCTTTATGGTTCATTTTCAGGACGTAGCAGGCTCTTCGGGACAGCACCCTAGATACGATGTAACCCTGAGGCACCAAAAGTACAGTTATTGCCTCTCCCGATTCCCTGGGTTCTGCACTTGGTGAGGATGACATCTGAACCTTGAGAAGCCTTGAGTATGCACAGTGAGGACATGTGATTGCTTTTCAATCTGCAATCAGTTCTATCCATCTGACTTCTTTTTCATAGTATTTTTATTTTTTCATTTGTCATGTCTATCTCTGAAATTTTGAAAACCCATGACTGTGCCCTACGTTTTATGTGACAGAACCAGGGTTTGCAGTTTGCGATTTGAAAGACTGAGAAGCAGCAGGTCTCTGTTGCTTTCTATAGACTTTGTCCAGCCTCTTCCTCAATTTAGAGTAAATTCCATAATCTTTAGAACCATGCTTTCCAATATGTTAGTTATTAGCCACATGTAGCTATTTAAATTTAAACTCAAACTAAATAAAATTTAAAATGTACTTCCTCTGTCACACATTTCAAGTGCTCAGTATACACAGTGGCTGCTTCTTTCTGGAAAACACAGTTTCAGAAAGTTCTATTGGACAGTGTTACTTCAGAAACTCTCCTTAACATCCCCACGCCCACCCCAACACACACATACATGCTTCATCTATTCTTCCCTCCTTTACCATCTTCTCTCCATCTTTTCTCTGCCTCAAATTCAAGCTGACTGGATAGGGATGGGTTGAAGGAAGTTGAGATTGGAAGAGCAGTGGAGGGTGAGGACGTTGGAGCCAGAAGGAGATTATCTCCACCTCATTTTCATCTAGAGTAGACTTTTCTCTACAGAATTCCAAATACTCAGGTAGCCTATAAGACTGTATATAACATAAACCCTTCTACTTCCTGTTTTTCAATTCTTTCAAATTGCAAGTTCCTAAAATTCAAAAATAGACAGAGACCAAGCCTGATGATAGTGGAAAATGCATGAACTAAATCTTCACCACTTCAATTTTTAAAAGATAGTTGTGGGATTTTCCTGACAACTGCTTAAAAACCGTTTCACAATAACTTCCTTTTAACCTGTATCTTTCAAAGACTCTCTACTTTCAACTGTGTTCTGGAACTCCCAATACCCATGAGGAGGAAGCTTGTGAGGAGGTTTCTAGACGAAAAGAAGAAGAAAAGCACATTCAGATGACCTACTTATATCCACAGTGCTCATATCCTCTGCCCCTAAGTTAAAGCAGGTTTATAACTATTATCGGTGAAACAAATGGAAAACAAACAAATAAATAAATAGATAAAGGACAGAATAAGTTTTCTGAGCAGGTTTCTGAGACTTATTGTTAATAATAGTAACTAAATCTTGGAGATAGTTTGGTATTTTTTAAGTAACACACTTTCCTTCTTACAGAAGAAGAATGACTTATTGCATATACCACATACATAGTTAAACGTGTATAGCTGTTCTAGATTTCTGCTATTTTGCAACTTTTCATGATTTTTTTCTGCATAATTTTTTTGTATGAGAAGCCCTAATTCATTAACTTACTCATTCAACAAATATTTTTAAGAGTCTGTGTGCCAGACACTATTTAGGGCTTCGGTCACTCTCTCTGAGCCTGTAATGAGACATCGTCACATGCCCAGTTTCTGCTTGCAGAGGTCAAGTAAACGTGTATGTTTCTTGTTATGTTTTTTTCTTAGAAGTGATTTTGTTTTGTTTTGGTTTTTAATCAGTAGTTTGATTATTTAAAGGGAAAAAATAGAAGTAAGAAAATTCTGATGAAATCGAAAGAGTAGATTTTGGAATTCAAATATGTACTAAATGACTACCTTCTGCCCTTCAGAAACCCAGTCTTATAGAATATAAAAATTTCCTCGCTGCTTACATGCTTATAGTCAAAAATCGTCGTAGAGGAGCACGATCCTGAATGAATGTTAATGATAGCGGTATTTTTTTCATTGTCAATTGTCATTGTCTCTTGCACATTGCCACCTTTGTTGTTTGGGCTAATGATGTTATAAACCTAGATTGAGAACAAAGACATAATGGTTTTTCCATTAATCACATGCATTTGAAAGGATCCCTCCCAGCAAAATAAAGCCGTCCACCTGCTATGACCAAGAAATTGAAGCCTGAAACCTTTCCGCTGGGATCCCAGACCAAAAGTACGTACTAAAATAAAGATGCAAAACTCTTCCTCATAGTTTACTACATATTGTATGGGAGAATCAACGACAACACAGGAGAAATGAGACTGGTGACATTTGAAAGCAATAGGTTACATTTTTTAAGGTATTGCAATTGGAAATAAATTATGGCATTGTTTCCATTATTGGCCATTTCCGGGATTCTCTCCAAAATAGACCACATGGACACTCTACTGTCCTTCAAATTATCTTGTATCTTCCTTTTCCTCTCCCCACACTATCAAGCTATAAAGTCCATAATGAATCGACTCACATCGTATCCATGAGATTGTGTTCCAAAGATGGCCAGCGCCACCAGAAATATCACCTGAAAAACAGAGCAGTCACTTCCATTCCTTGTAGGGTAATCACTGAAGGGGACACTAGACAGGAAAAGTGTAAATATCTCAGAAAATGCACACTGAGGGACAATGGTGAGTCATCATGGGTGGTCACCGATCCATTTCTAAAGTATGAAACACACACATTCACCCTTTTGAAAGGTATTTATTGAGTTCGTGATATTTTTCAGACACAGGTTTCTACTTTTGTCAACCAATTCCCAGCCCTTCCCAACATCAAAACCTACACAGCATGTGCTCCTATGCCGGGAAGAACTTAGGGCAGGTGGGCAGTGAGGAAGGACTGATTTTACTCTGAGAATACCTTGGTAAGACTCACACTGGTTTTGAATTACAAGAGATTAATTTGCATTTACTCGTAAAAAGAAAAGAATTATTTAATTCCTTGAGAGTGAGAAGGTTAAACAGATTGAAAATGATTCACGGGCAACAGACACAATGGATTCCTAAAGGAAACTATGAAAATAAGATGCTTGGGGGCATGATTGACTTTTGAGGCTGACACCAAGGAAATCTCCCTATTCTCCTACTAACCCATGCCTTAGCGACACCATCAGACACGTGTTAGGCCAGCAGGCCGTGAGACTGACACTGAGGCACTGAGGCAGTTCTGACAGTTTTCTGTAGTTATGTAAAGTCTGATCCAACGAGCCGATCCTGGTTTCGTGCTGTCTCTTCTGAACATCACAGTGTGCCGCACTGTCATTGAAAACTGCTGGTGGCGGGGGTCTGCAGGAAGGCAGACATTTTGAAGAACCATCAGTAGGATTTTCTCCTTCATTTTCCATATAGCCAATAACATTTCTCTCCTGGTGACTGCGTGTGGAACGTCCAACAAAAACCTGTATGCAGATATCTAATCTGCCTACTTACCTAGGGATGTGTCAGCTTGACTTCAGGCTTCTAGTAATCTCTGACACGTCTATGTATTCTATTTTATGGATCTAATATAGAGGTTTTTACAGATGACTGGAGAACTGATCACCTTAGTGATATGATTAGAAAGAACTAGGGAGGTGTTCCCGCCCCCAAACAACCACCCACCAACATCGTGATGAATACACAATGGTATAGGTTTGTGTTACCGGGTTAGGTCTCTTCTTGGAAAATCAAGAGACTCTTAGGGCACGGAACTCTTTAAGCTGACTCTTGAACACCTTATGGGGAGGTACTTGTCATTTGCTTTCTCCGCCAGCAGCTAAATGAGAATAAGAAACAGAGGCTGGGGGAAGGAGTGCCACTCTGCCTCAGAACATGGCCTACAGCCCATGCAGCACTGCAGGGCGGCACGGGAGACTGGGATCAGGGCTGGGGTCAGATGGAGGGAAAAGGGAGATCATGGCAGGGATGTTTTGCTACTACTGCTCCTGTAAGTGGGGCCTAAAATGGGTAAATGTCAAGTCTAAATCCCACATTTACTACCTTGGGAAAATCACATTTCTCTGGGCCTCAGGCTCCTCATCCGTGGAATGGAGTAATACTACTCATAGAGCTGTTGATGTGAATAGATGAAATTATTCATGTAAGGTGTTTATCATAGGGCCTAGAATGCACTTGGGAAATGACTGCTGCTACTGTTATTATTATTATTATTATTGATGTTACTAATATTATTTTAAAATTCACTTCCCTTTTGGATAGTAAATGCATTTGTACTAAAATGCCTAAATCCCCTCCGAAGCTCACCATAAGAATTATTATTAAAAATCCTCCAAATTAACATTCTTAAATATTTCCAATTTTTTTCTTTATAATATTTTAGTAAACATCTCAAAAAATACACAATGGACATATAACTATCCTACTTAATATTCAACATTGTTCCTGCCCAAAACATCATTAATTCAATCACAGAAACTTAAACGCATACACAATGTTTGTCTAAGAACCCTGAAATACAGCGCATATTGGATATGAACACTCTCTGCAAGAAACCACCACAAGAGTATAAAGAAACACAAACAAATACTCACAAGGATTTTCATTTTGTCTGATGGGAAGGAGGTGCTGGAGCGAGTGAGGCTGCTCGGTGCAGCTTGTACCCTTTATATTGGCTTTCAGGTGTGGAAATCTTCTCAGACTGATCTCTTTGAAAAAGACCATGTCATATCTCCGACACACCCCAGCAAACTCCTTTATCAGAATCGAGACCCAGCCACATAACCTAATATCAATGAAGTTCATTAGTCAGTAATGAAATTTCACCACTTGGTCATTCTGTAAATATTCCTCGCTTATCTGCTCCATGTTACACTTGAGAGTTCAATTTCCACCCTTTAAAAACATTGCAAGACGCTTATTTTACACAAACATCTTATAGACGTATAAGAACATATTCCTAATATCTCCCCTGATGGTAAAGTCCTCCCTTTAGACCTGAGCTGGATCTTCATTCAGTATCTTTTCATCCCTGCCCTGCTCTCAAGGAATGGACCTGAGACTGGAGGCAAGAACAGTGGCTGAGGGAGCCTGCTTCGAAACAAATAGCCTTGTGACTTTATTTCTCCTTCCCTTTAGAGTTGGTGCCAATTTTCAGGGCTTTATGAGGAACGAGGCTCAGAGATTTCCCTGCCTAATTACCAGGCTTAATCAAATTTTTACAGTAAACCTTACTCAAAACACTGTGAAAACTACGATTTATATATCTCTGCTTATCTTGAAGTACATCAAGAAATTCTCAGATTAAAAAAGAGAGAGAGAATAAAGTTTAATTTGTGTAATCTTTATAATGCCACAATCAGAAAAGGCTAGCCAGTTTTAGGAGGGGATCGCGAACTCAGGTGGGGAAATACAAAAACGAATAAGAAATTGCAAAATTGTTAAATATTGAGAATCACTACAGCAAGCAAAGAAATAACATAAATGAAGTCCTTGATCTACAACTACAGTGACTTCCTAACTGCAGCTTTTTTTAAACGGGGCTTTTAAAAAGCAGTCGTTTGGGCAGTTTGGGGCTTACCTAGTTCACTGGAATTCCACTACACTGGCTATTCGGTTGCGGTGGGTGTAAAATGTTCTGCTTTCAAAAATCTTTCTGAGATAGCAGTAGCCAGAAGGATTACAGTTTTGTGGTACCTCTGCCAATTTTCTCTCATATCTGACTCCAAAGTCCCCCCAAATTCCCTCACCTATAGACATGAGGGCAGATGGAGGTATTATCCTCTCCCCTCTACTTTGTTCCCTGCCTGTTCCCAGGAGTTCTGAGTCTATAGGTTTGATCATGATGATAGTTAGCATTTATGGAGCACTCGATATGCTCTAGCACTTTTTAAGCACTTTGCATATATCGATTCATTTGATTCTCATAACAATGCTATAGGTTACCTTTTGTACATCTCATTTTACAGACAAGAAAACTAAGTTAAATGATTCCTCAGCGTTACACAGCTTCTCAGAGCAAGTGGGAATCTGAGCCAATCTGACTCCATAGTCCACACTCTTAACTACTAGTACTGCGTGACCTCCCTCTGCAGTTGCTGGTAAGTGTAACTTCTTGCCTTGCTGAGATAGGGTGTGGGGGCATTAGTAAGGAGGCTTCTGCTACTAGAATGTTTCTTGACTGAAATACTGGCTTGGAAAAATCATGCCTACCCATAACTTAGTGGTGAACACTTTTAAACAGAGAGAAAGAGACACCGTTTGTAAAAGTTGTTGTAAGTGAAATTCATGGCTCAGCTGCCCAGCTCCCACTGAGGGGGTGAAATCGCTAACACGGAAGGGCCTCATGCTGGCTGTACCTGCACCTTGGACACTGATGCAGACGGTCTGAGAAAGGGCACAGACATGTGGACTTTTAAACCTCCACGGGTGGTTCTGATTGAAAGAGCTGTTTCAGAACCTGTTCAAACCCCTCATGATGAAACTAAGACTCGAGCAGGTTAAAAAATGTGGCCAAGGTCATATATATAGTTAGCGGCAAAGATAAGACTTTTGCTTGCTACTCTAGTGCTCAAACAAAATAGTAAATTCACTTGGTTTGTTGCCTTTATTCACATACGTTTAAACCTATTTTAACTGCTACCTTTTTTATTATGAGACCTAAATTCTCTATTTTTCTGTTTCCTCTCTTTCGCCCCTCTTCCCTTTCTTTTCTCTCTCTTATACACAATTTATTTTTTTAACTCTTCTTTTTTATTTTGCAGGCATTTCCATTACATCTGGATATATCACAATGTGCCATAATATATCAGACTCAACATGTCTAAAATAAAAGTTGCATTTTTTTTCCCAAAAGCAGTTTTGGGGTTTTTTTTACTTTGTTATTTCCTTTGACAATTTCTCCACATCTTCAGGTTCACTTTAAAGTCATCCTTGCTTCTTCTGCCATTTTCCCTCTATAATGCCTCTCCTATTTGTACCTTTCTTTTCATCTGTCGACTCATACTCGATTCCTTGTCCTCACCACTACACACTGTCCCTGTTATAATGACTTTAATAGTCAGAATAATTGGCACGAGCTGCTGTAACAAGCAACACCTAAAGCTCAGTGATTTGACAAAAGGAACTTTTATTTCTCACTCACATAAAGTCCAATACAGATAACTTCATGGTGAGTGGCTGGCCAAGTGCTGATTTATGGATTCCAGCTTTTTCCTTATGTAGCTTCCCTGTCTTCCCTATGTAGCTTCATGGTTATTCCGAAATCATCGAGCTAGCAAATGGGAGTTTAGATCAACAGCATGAGAAGACACATCTGCTTTCACTTCTTCAGATAGAAAATGACCACATCTGTTTGTTATCCATGGTAAGGAGCAGTCATGTGACCATATCTAGATGCGAGGGAAATGAAGCCAAGAAGAGGAAGCCTGTCTATGCCAAAAGACCAAAATTTTCTTTCTTCTTCCAGGCTGCCCATTCTTCCATCCTCAACATCACTATGCAACATCTATGGCTTTAAAGCACTACTTTGCCTTCATTGCTCTTGTGTTCAAAAACTTTTTAAAATTCTCCATCAACTCTAGGACAAAGTTGAAGACTCTTAGCTTGGGTTTTAACTCACTCTACAGTGTTCTTCTAAACCAACGTCCCCAAGTGGTACGAGTGAGAAAATATTATAAATGAAGGAAAAAAGATGTGATCATAAAAGTAGAAAGAGGTTCATGTACACAATTGTCACAAAAGACACTCAATCCATTTGACTATAATTTCCCTGTCTTCTAAACTCCTCATTTTGTATCCTAAACTCCCCATTTTTTATTCCTTTTATACTACCTTTATCCATTTTGTTTTTCTTCCTCCTTCTCTTCTTCCTTCTATTCTTATTGACTTTCTACCTTATGGAAATCACTGGAAGAACCTTCTGAAAGGGATAGAAGGATGAACTAGACACAAAGAGTCTCTGCTCTCAGAGAACTTGCTGTCTATTATAAAACACAAATAACTATTAAAATATAATAAATGTTAAGTATCAGAGGAGAGGCATGAGTAGAATATAATGATCCAAAGTACAAATTGTATTGGCCATACCTGTCAATGATAAGCAAAAAATTTATTTATATTCTTCATCGTTTTCTTCATTATGTAACTAATCATTCCTTTCCTTTAATGGTCCTAAATTTAGCTAATGTCTTTTATTTAATGACCCTAAATTCACATACTGAGGTCATAACATATTCCCTCCTCTGTTCCCCAACTCTCCCAAAGTTCCACTTTGATATGGTACAGTCAGCCTATGAATTCATTTTCATGTCATTTTTTGCCATACCCAAGAAAGAGCTCAAACTTGCTGTTAGGAGGGGAAAAAATTCAATCTAAATGGCCCTGGGATGAGGGTATAGTTATTTGGGCAAGCTAATGTAGGTTCTATCATTTGAAAATATTAATTTCAATTTAAAAAATACATGTAAACTATGTACATGATGTAAAAGAAGCAAATAAGAAAAACACAAGGAAAAAATATAAGTAAACTTTGATCTGATTTTAGTAATGCAAAAGATTTTCTAAGCCTAACGGTATAGAATAAATTACAAGAAGAAAGATATATATATAAGCTTAACTGCATAAAATATAAAAGATAATTGTTTTTAAACTGGCAAAATTTAAAGGCAAATTTAAAACTCAGAAAAATACTTTTAACACTTATGAGAAACAAATGACAATATTTTCTATGTTTTTCCTTAAGAATGAATTCTTTATTTTTATAATTAATAGACAGTCAAGTGCTTATTAAAAATCTCCAAAGGGTAATATTTTTAACTTACAAAAAGTTTTCATAAATCCACAGGAAAATAATGAACACACACATCTTTTTAATGGGCAAAAAACCTGATTAGAGAAAGATGAAGTGATAACAAAAGATGGTGAATGGTTGAAGCTTCAGAAACATCCCACCTGTATTTGAAATTCAACGTCTCCAATTTCTCACACATACTTTCTCATACAAAATCTTCATGTGAAAAAAATGATAACAAAGTGCCCCCTCAAAGCATCCTTGTGAACACTGATGGGCTCACATACATAAAATTCAACAGTCACTGTCACAGAGTAAGCTCTCAATAAAATTTACCTAATATTATTATGATTATTTATTGTAAATGAAACATTTCAACCTTGTAAATTTTTAGAGAATTGCAAATTCAATCAGCGTTATTAAATCAAATGTAAATGAAACTAAGGTATTTGGAAAGTCCCTAATTATTTGAATGTTTTTTTTTTTAAAAAAAACCACCTCTAAATAAGCCATAGATTAAAAAGGAAGTCAAAGAAATTGGAAAATAATTTTAATTGAATAGAATTAAAAATACAACATATAGAAATTTGTGGGATGAAGTTCCTTAAGCAGTGCTTACAGAAAAATTTGTAACATTAAATACTTATAATAGAAAAAAGAAAGGTCTCAAATAAATGATCTAAGTATTCATCTTAAGAAAGCTGAAAACAGATTTGGGTTTAATATTGAATTAAACTCAAAGCAAGCACAAAAAAAGAAATAATAAAGAGCAAAAATCAATGAAATTGGATATAGAAAAAACAGAAAAAAATTAATGAAAAGCACCAATGGTTTCTTT